CAGCCGGAAGGACTACAGATCGCCAGACATTAAGCCCGTAGAACCATGTCAAGACATATCGGTGGGAAGCGTCGCTAGACTCGTCGGGCGCGCCGTTTATTATTACTAATTATTATAAGCGGATATTTTTGTACAGCGTCTTACAATGTGGTCGGATCGTTGCCGGCACGCCCGACGGGCACACGACCGGCCTGCCATACTTACTTCATTTAAAAGCGCGCGATACCCTGAAGACGCGTAAACACGTACGTGCGCAAGCACGATGATATAAACATATATATATATATATAAACGCATGTGTGTGCGTCAGCGGAACGTGTAAACGAAATAATATTATCCTACATTGGACTCCCCCGCGCGTAAGAACTATAAACGGAGCTTAACTATTGATCGAAGGATGTATCTTTGTATTGTAATCTCGGTGCTCTCGCTCACACGTCGCTTCTTCGCACGACTCCAGAAACCTCATATCTGTGTTAACATGTACCAATATATATATATATATATATACACATACACACACACACACATGTATACGGCATAAACACATTACAGACGCTATTTACATAGACGAAACATGACACGTTAGTCTTATGTGCTCTTACGAGCATTTCATCTCTCTTTCTCTTCATTGTCTTCTATATAGATAAAGGAGGAGCAATTCTTGCGTATCTATGAGATTAAAAGTCCATGTGGAATAGATATATAAAAAGAGATTAGTTCTTGAATCAATGTACACACGTCTACGTCTTTCCGCGTAAAATACTCTTAGGCAGGGATACGTATACTTGTACACGCATAAACAAATACACGTACACGAGATTAAATTATGCCTAATGTTATATCGATGTTATATATATGGTTACTATATGACACACACACACACACGTACATGAACTTCGTCTGTATATCGTCTGTCTATACATAATGTTAAATATATATGGTCATTATAACTATTACGTGATATGTATGTATTATGAGACATTTCTCCCTTATCGACTCGCGACTCGCTACTCAAATTCTAATGTCTATATGTCATTGTTTATTATGTCGTTAATGATTAACGTGTATATGTGAAACTTTCAAATGAATAAAAATGATATAAGCAGAGATATCTTTTTTCCTGTTTATTTAGTTTTACCTTTCACCTTCATTCATTGAATTTCTCTTCTTTTAACAAGCTGTCGTACGAAATACGAAAATATACAGAATTAAAACATGGGTATTTTTACATGTATGATATATGTGTATTATGCGATTTAACTGGAACACGCGGTGCTATAATTTATTCAAGTTCATCTTTATTAACGTTGTATCGGTAATCAATACGAGCAACGTATCGACAAGTACATGAGATAACATTAATCAATGTCGAATACAGATTCCAGATTTGATGCCACAGAATATTCACAGAATGTAATGGTGGAACAGCATCACAGAGTAATGGTGTTTATAATATATAAACACCATGTCAAAAAAATGTTTCATAACTTTGCTTTGAAAAAGAAACGAAAATTATCCAAAAATCTAACTAAATACAGATCAAAATAATTCTGTTGTACCATCAAAATAATTATGTAGAATGTTTTAACTGGCTAGGATGTCAAAACTTTTTTTATGTAAGCAACATTACTCATCATATTTAAGTTTCCTACGTATGTAATTATTTAATGATTCAATAAAATTATTTTTATATCTGAATCCAGTTAAATTTTTAGTTACTTAAATAAAATCGGTTTTTCTACGTGGAATAATTGAATAACAATTTTCTTGCATGTCAAAAGCTTCTATCGATTACCTTACTGTGTAATTGGTTACTTCATTCTCGTCGGAATTAAATTACAACAATAAAATGATAGACCAAGCGACTCTCAATATTACATCTCTGTTATTGAGAGAAATCACTGAATATTGAATGAAAATGATGTAAAATTATTAAGTGTTCTATATGCTCGAATAATTCGATTTAGAAAAAGTGACAGCAAGAGAAGTGGAAAATAGTCGAATATAGTTCCAATCACTTTATCAGATTCATACGATGTATCTTTAATTTGGCTCGTCCATGCGTGTAACTAATCTAGAAAGATCGATGTGATATCAACAAAGTCAAAGATTTCTTTCTCCTGCAGAATCTACAGCAAACACCGAGTTACACAATTTGTTTGTTGAATAATATTAGCTTCTCGTCGTTAATTTGTTTAACTACATCGCCATTGAAATCATAATCCTGACTGACCAAAGTAAGAGCATAATTATCACCGTATATTCATAGTTCCCTAATATTAGCATTTCATAAAAGCGCCGCTCTTATGTTTGTTACGGTGCGACGATATCTAGTAATGCTGAGAAGAAGTAAGCGAATCGTAATCGTGAATCACAGAAGTCTAGCTACAGTGCTGTTGAAAGGACTTTCAAGTGACGCTACTGAGTTTACAAAGTAGAACATGATACCCACGATCTCGTAAAGCTTGAAGGAAAATGAATACATAGTACCATTTGCCATCAGCGTGTAACCTAACTCGCGTAACTAGCAAGAACTCGAAGAGTTCGTCGTCGAGCTTTTAGAGTGATACGAGTTCTATCTTTGGCGTCAAACCGATATTATCGCAATTGAATTCTTCGAAGCTAAAAAAAAGGCTTCAACACGAACCGGGAAGTTGAATCAGTGCCCTTATCACCGCTTCCGTATATTCATATCATGATGATTATCGCTGGTAACAGACTTGAACGAGAATAATTCTGACGATTTAACATGCACGAAACGTTATAAAATTATCTGTTTCACTCACAAATTAAAAATTTTTTCTAAATATTATACTACAAAAAATTATTTTAGAATAATTATTTTAAAAGAATTTGTTGCAAATCAAAATGATATAAAATTAAAAAGAAAAATAAATAATTATTTCATATTATCATAATTTTTTTTACCATACGTATTACCAAACTTAAATATCTTTTTGCAATATAGATTTGTATTTCAAACACTGTATGAGGTTAGCTAATGAATATGTTCGGAATCTCAGTTCGCTTTGAGCTAATCTAAATTTGGCTTGCAACCCAAAGTCAATGTCAGGTTCTGAGAACGTATATGATAAGTTACGGTATTGTGTGATTATAAAAAGAATACATATTTTAGAACAATGTTCTTTATACTGCATAAAATTTATAAGAATTATAAGGAAACATTAATTTCACTTTAAAAATATGTAATCAATGATTGATTTAAAAGAAATTTACTTATATGAAGATTTTAATTCACAAAATGTTTCTATGATTTTATTGTTAAAATAATGCATGTATATATTTTTCAAATACATATTTAAAAAATATCTTTTAATATATATATAGTGTAATTACTGTGCGAAATGTTTTGTCAAAATTATTGTTATTATATTTAAAACTAAATAAAACTATTTACCTTTTTTTTAATATCTTAATTTTGATTAAGATGTATAACTAGATATGAATTTACACAATTCCTTCAATTATTTCTATTTTTTCATGAATTTGATAAGTTTGATTTCTTAAGAAAATAATATATTTCAATACAAAAAACAAAGCTGTAAAATTTAATAAATAAAATAAGAAAAATATTAAGAAAATTATTTTGAAAATTCCCAAATACACATATACGTTTATAAACCGATAAAATCAAATGATCGATGGAAACGAACGCTTTTAACTATTCTAAAGTTAGTGATCTGCAATGAGTTTATTATGATAATGAAGCGATATCTTAGAATTATTTTTAGCTGTAAGATCAGTAGTTCGATTTAACGTCAAAGCTTTATCTGATTGGCTGTTAGACATTAACGTATATATCGAGGTTAAAGGTAGTTGCCAGATAATTTTTTTCACGTATGAGCTGTCAGTAATCCACTACAATTCTCTAAAAGGATGCAATGTTAAACCACTATATGTTCGATACGATGCAATGTATAACTGCTTTCATGTTCACGAATAGTTCACTATGTAGGTGCGGGGGGAACCGATTCGATATAATTATCATCTACGTCATGCAAAGATAACATCTGAGATCAAAGATATGCTACAAATTCCTCCCTAGATTATGTCACCTCTGAATACAGAAGTCGAGTAACTAATATTAATTATATATATTTTAAAAAATTAATTACGGTTATTTGTCTGACTTCTATCTGAATAATACATTTAATAATTTTTATTCTTTTATGTTTTATACTTTTTATAAAAATATCTTTAATTCTTTTGTATTCTTCTTTTTATAAATTGACGTGTTACGCTTGGAATAATCGATTGTGCTCTATGGGGACAGAGGTCAGTCATTTGGCTTAACAACGAAAAGACAATTTATGGCAATTCCCATCCATACAGTAGAGATATGCTCATCCTCGGTCTCACGTAGAATATTTTTCCAACATTTGCGGACTATATGTTATTAACACATCGATGAAAATTATTCACAATTTACTGAAGATGGTTTGAAGAAAAACCGAAACGTTCAAAAAAATTGTATCGACACTCGTAGTAGATCAATATATTATGTGAATATCATTCGAATTTTTGTTATATAATTAGCGCACCAATTTCGGCGCTGTATTAACGCTCTCATTGCCCGTATACGTTATTATTATTATTATTTTACGTTATTATTATTAATATTTTTTTAATTTCGAGAGCCCTATTATTTAAATTTTGATTCTATTATGTCTATATATATATATATATATATATATACACTTTAAATAAAATTTTATATGAATAGTAACATTATTCATGCGCGTGTGCCTATAATAATTACTAATGTAATGTAATATTAAAGATCTTAATATATCAAATAAAATAATTCAAGTGTTTATTCGCAGTTGCTTTAACACGTTAATTGTTTCGTAAAGAAACAGTCGTGAAGGCGTCCTAAATAAGAGTCTTTTTATAGCGAGTTCGATTCGATACATGATTGATCTATTAACATCGATTGTGGTTGTGTATCTATAGTATTGCGCTACTAATTAGTTTACTACGGCTCAGTAGAACTTTTTCGTCGGTAGAGTAAGTTAGCTTCCGAAAGGAACCCGTCCGCATCATTCGATTTTGTGATTAATTCGACAGTTTCATCAGAAAAGTGAATTTTAGCAACATGGTAATTTAAGTATAAATTTACCATCAAATACTTATAAAAAACTGTCTAAATTAATGACGTAGTACTAATCGCGGAATTTTTAATGCTTTACGTGTTTCAATATATTTCTAATAATATATGAGCTAATTAAATTTACGTTATTAAATTACATTATATTAATAATATTAATTCCATTATAGGAAGAAATTCAGCTTAGTAAAGATCAACTGTCTCGTAAGTAAATTTGCATATTAAAACACCATTATTTTCGTCATCAATAGTATAATGTGACTAATTTAAAATTATTATTAGCGATTATAATTGGTACCTATGTTTAACATATAAAAACTGAGAAAAATGTTTTCTGAATAGATTTAAAAATGGCATTCGACGCATTTGATCATGATAAAAAAGGATCTATCAGCACGAGCATGGTAAACACAATTCTAGGCATGCTTGGTCACGAAGTTCCATCAGAACAGCTCGCGGAAATTATTGCGGAGATTGACACATGGGGTAAATATTACCGATATACAAAAGTTGATTGAAAGAGAAATCGCACTCTCCAACTATTCTTTTGAACAATACTGATATTTCATAACATGCTCCAAACAAATTGTCGAACAAAACTTTTATCCAAAAATAAAATTATTGAGTTTTGTATTATATTTAGAGTATGTTCAGAAATTCGTAAAAGTTATTTATTGGCAAAAAGTTTCAGAGAAAATTACTTTTTAAATATACAATATATTTGAAAATACAATTAGCAAAGTATTAAGACATAACAGAGATTAATAATAGATATCGAATTATTTTTTATTTATAGGAACTGGTGAGTTAAAATTTGAAGAGTTTTGCCAGTTAGCATCGCGTTTTCTTGAAGAGGACACTGATACGGAAGCGATACAGCACGAGTTACGAGAGGCATTCCGATTGTACGATAAGGAAGGTAACGGTTATATCACTACTGAAGTGTTTAGAGACATCCTTCATGAATTGGACGACGCATTATCTCCGGAGGAGCTTGACATGATTATAGAGGAGGTGGACACTGACGGATCTGGCACGCTTGATTACGATGGTGAGATCTTACGTGATGCACAGGTGTTAATCCACTCTGTCTTCGTTTACACATACCTGACTAGTCCGGCGTTCATATTACAGAATTCATGGAGGTCATGACAGGATAAATTATGACTTTGGCACCGCGCGAATGCACCGTGTCGATCGCCCACGTATCAAACAACGAACGTGCCTGTACAAACAGAGAAGCCGAAATCTCTTCGAAGTCGAAGCTAGCAGATTATAAATTCGTTCGTTTATCATATGTGAGAATAGATCGCCATAAAACTTATATTTTTATCAAATCCTGCGAGCCAGGAGTTTCGATGAGAGATGCTCAAGAATAAATTATAAAGAATTTTAATATTCATATACGCGTATAGCAAATGTGTGTAACAAAAGAGATTTTGGAATCACTGAAATATATATATATATAATATTTTAAGTATAATAATGACAATTATTAGTATTTGTAAATTCATAAAGCTATTAATTTGTTAAGATTGCAAAATTGCTATCTTTTGTGCCAAGATTTTGACACTAAATTCCCATTAGCTGTTAATTTAATTAAATATCGAAATTTTATAATACTTTGCCTATGTAATATGTAATTGTACACTGTAAAAAATTTCTGTTGTAAACTTCCAAAAGTGTTGGAAATTTTTATCCAATAAAAATGTGCTGTAAATTTAAACAGTTATATTGTCAAATTACAATAACATTTTGTAAAATATATGCAAATCTTTAATGCGTATATGCCAGTTTTATAAATTCACAATGAATTTCTATTGTAAATTTACAAATATTGTGAAATCACAGCAAAACGTTATATAGTTTATAAATTTACTGCACACTTTTATTGTAAGGGTATTGTAAATTCACAAATATTTCTAATGATGTATGTACATATAATAAACGTATATATACATATATTTAAGGTATTATAACTTTTAAATGTATTTCTTAAATTAAATTAATAAATATCGATTATGTGTTAAAAATGTATAAAACAATATAAACCTGTACGAAACATTAAATATGTACAAAACAATAAAGCTCAAAAACGATCGTAGATGTATGCATCCCTTCTAATCAAACTTTAATAAAATATCGTTGTTCTTTAATCTTTTAAATTTTGAGGGAATATAATATGCAACAGATGTAAAAGTAAAACCTACCTTTTTTATTACAGTTTTAGGTATTATTTTTAAAAAGAAATTTATAATTAACAAAAAAATAAAATTTTAATTGTGGTTTAAAAAATGCTAATGTCTCAATATGGATATTAAGAACATTGTCATTTTTTTAAATACAATTGTTATAATCGCAAAAAAATGCATATACTTCTGCAACTCTGTAATTGCTTACTATTGTAAAGAATTATTATTATCATCAAAGCAAGAAGTTTATATAGTATTGGAAAATATAAGCTCGCGTGTTGGCAGTGACTGCAGCACGTGCTTCACATGCATCAACTGTGGTATTATACGGACGATTCTTTAACAGAAATGTAATCTATTGTAAACTTTTGGTAGACAGAAAAGTAGAGAAGGCACGTATTATCAAGGAATTCAACAATGCATGCAATGGTAAGCGACTGTATTCCGGAATGAACGGTAAAATCGCCTAAATATAATGGCAGACACCGGGCTTTATGAGCTTATAATTAGGACTCTAAGAATAAGACATGCACAATTATTGCATAGAACCGTCTTGGGTCAGCATCACCCATGAATTCTCCGGCGATGCGCCAATTCTGTCTATTGTTGCATCCACGCAGTCACACATTATGTCGCTCATAAATTCTACCGTTCAGACATCACATTTCATAATGAATTGCTTGTGTAGTCTCGACAATGGTGCAAACTCTAATCATAAATATCTCGGTGATGGTTTGGTTGAAACTTGCATCTTTATATGCTTCAATAAAAATAATCTTGAGTAACAATTTCATTAGTTAATTTTGAGCAAAAGCTTATCGTGATTACATATCAAGTAAATTAATTATTTTTGTACGCATTTTTAAATTATAGTATAATATAGTATACTACAATATAAATTAGGCTCGCGCTTATACAGAAAATTTTTTTTTAAATCAATGATATAAAAGAAATAATTGTGATACATCTATTATATAAAATATGGAGAAAAATTTATCTTTACTTATAAATCTGGAAATAGATGATGTATTTTTCTACATATTGCCACAATATAATGCCACATAATTAACAGAATAATTTTTATAAAATATTACGAAAATATACCAATAAATTTAATATATATGTATAAATCTCTAATAAATATATAAAATTGTTTATTTTAGTTACTGATAAATTTAAACTGTTTCATTATACACATGTTTCGTTAAAATAAACTTTAATGTAATTAATACATCTGTAACTAGATGACAATCTTGCGTTTCGCGGGTTTTCTCCGTGTTCAGATCCATTCTTGGAATGCCAACGTTTCGTGAACCTTGCAGTTCACTTCATCAGGGCGAGGAGCAGCCTGATACTTCTCAGCAGCAGCCTACTACTCAGTATCAGGCTGCTCCTCGCCCTGATGAAGTGAACTGCAAGGTTCACGAAACGTTGGCATTCCAAGAATGGATCTGAACACGGAGAAAACCCGCGAAACGCAAGATTGTCACATAGGTAACACCCGTGAAAGCCTCAAGAATATTATCTGTAACTAGATGTTATATGCTTCACAATTAATAATTTACATTAAGACGAATCGCGTACAATATGTTCGCATTAATTTTGTCATGTAGAAATGTCATAATATTTGGAAAAGTTGTTGATAAATCGAACGTATGATTAGTAGTAGCGTGGAAGATTTTTGAAATTGTATTAAACGTGTTGCCGCGAATTCTGCATAATCAGGTAAAACGTGTCTAAGAAAATAGAGTGGGGAGAACGTCCTCGATGAATTTGAAAACCACTAGACTTAGGATGTAGGGATTACTTGGTCAATCACGTGCCAGAAGATCATCGTTAAAATCACTTAAAACAGAAGTCCTCCGTCAGAATCTGGTGCATACTCGGATAAACCGTCCAAGCGAACGTACCACGAGCAGCGCGTATAGTTATCATCGCAATGGCAAGTTACATACTTCCGATAAATACGAAAATAATTTATCAAATCTTAACATTTTCCTAGCAAAAAGTATAAAAATTAAATGGACAAATAAAACTCATAATAATACAATTGAACATTAAATTAAATGGAAATATACAATAATTCAATAAGCATGCAAGCTTAAACATTGATAGTAGATATAACTAAAAATTAAATTGCTTTTTGCGTAAATTTATTCAAATTTTATATTATATAAAATTTACTTTTTTATATAATATAAAATTTGAATAAATACTATTTTATATGATATAAAATTTATCCAAATTTTATATTTATAAATTAATAATGTGTAATCATAAATAATAATTAAATACTGTTACATTTTCAGGAAGATCTAAATAAGGACCAGATAGCCCGTAAGTATACCTTTTTATAATTATAATAAAATTTAGAATAATATAAGACTATCACTTTTCTATGTTTTACAGTGTTGAAGAAAGCCTTCGATGCTTTCGATCAGCAAAAGAAGGGCAGTATCGGTACAAATATGGTAGGCACAATATTGACCATGTTGGGTCACGAGCTCAGCGAAAACACGCTGCAGGAAATTATTAGTGAAGTCGATGAGGATGGTAAGTAAAATTTTGTCGATCCTGCGTCGATTATATTTTCTTAACCGTTTTTCAATACGTATATTTTTCTACTGATTGTATATTTTTCTTTTCTCGAGGTTCCGGAGAACTCGAGTTCGAAGAATTCTGTACGCTGGCTGCTAGATTCTTGGTAGAAGAAGATACGGAAGCGATGCAGCAAGAATTACGCGAGGCATTCCGGTTGTATGACAAAGAGGGCAACGGCTACATAACTACCGCTGTTTTTCGCGACATCCTTCACGAACTCGACGACAAGCTGTCACCGGAAGAACTCGATTTAATGATCGAAGAAATCGACGCTGATGGATCAGGAACGCTCGATTTTGACGGTATTTTTATCATTATCTTTCTTTTATCATTTCATACAAAAATAATAAATATAAATGTGAAAGCTATAGGAGTCAATGCTGGTTATAAACATGCGTAATATTTTAATAATGAATTAATACAATTTTTATCATTTCGCGGAGTTGATTAGGTATATTAATCTCGAAAATTAAAAAGCTATTATTTAGACGGACTTTTAAAACTTTTTTTTCAAAGTTACTTTTTAATAAAAAGATAACTCAATTTTCATGTTTTTAATAAAAAATATCAAAGTTTATTTTAACAAAACGTATTCATAATGAAACTGTTTAAATATATCAAGTAATTAAAGTTACAATTTCACATATTAATTTATTAAAGATTTATATTAAATTTATTATTAGTAAATTTTTATAGCGAAAATTTCAAATTAGTTTAATAAAATATAACGCTATCCGTTTTCCAAAATTGATACCATTAAATATGTTAAATTACAAAAAACTTTTATTCAATTCAGTATTATAATCGGGATACAATCAGGTGACTAATCGTTATCAGTCATGAAAAATTATACCGCATGTTCAAACAAGTCAAAATTTAATTAAAATCTTATGGCATTAAAAATAATATATTTAAGAAATTCTCTAGGTGCACTTAACTGTGATTTATTTGCGAGATTCAATAATATGTGACACGCTTCGAAAGCCAACTAGTTCGTTTAAAATGTGCTTAAGTTACGAAGCCCCGAGCCAAGTAAATTCGTTTCGTGCATGTCAACGTCAGTGAAACTTAACATAACCGCACTAATAGCAAAGTCGATCGAACGTTCAATAAGTCTCTCGCCTTGGGTGGTTCGCCAAGTTTGTAGCCCGCGGGAAATGCGAGGCGCCGCCTGATTACGCTAACGCCCACGTTTTGCGCGCTTTCAGAGTTTATGGAAGTCATGACGGGAGGCGACGACTAAAGCAACCGGAGCTGGTAATGAAGATGGGCACTCGGAGTCTGGTTTAACTGCGCAATTGGTAACGCCCGTCAGAGAGAGCGTTCCTTCTTCATCATCCAGGCACGCGCTTTTGCAAACCACTAAACTACGGCCAAGCGGAAAATTGGACGGTTCATCCATATCCTTGACTGACTTTCATCGTGCAAGGTGAAGATCGTAGCGTTTCTAAACGGTTTTAGTTAATGTCAGGAGCAATGGAAATCCCCCGAAGTGCGTTGAATAAATCGGAACAGGGTTTGTGCAAAATAAAGTAGTGAATATCGTCGTCATCGCAAAACGAGTATCATGCAAAGCTCCAACGTAATTATCTCTAGACGTC